GGTGGTCTTTGGGGGGGGGGGGTTTCTGTTTGTCTCTCGGGAATCGAACGGAGAATTCCTGCCTGGGGATGGAGGAGAAATATGTGAATTCAGTGTCATTGTTCCTTTCTCTGCAATATGGTCGATTGCAAGTTCTTGACTTGATTTTACAAAGACATTGCTTGATGGATCTGCAGATCTGTTTCATTCTCTTGCAGCTCCATCTTTCGATTTCTCTCTTGAAATGTTTAAATCTATGGCCTTTATCACGTTCCCTTATCCTCCATTATCGGCTCCTGTTACTTTTTTTCTTCTTCGTGATTCCAAAAGATTCAATGTACTGTGATTTCATAGAACGGTCTGAATTTCAGTTGTCTGGTACTCAGAATCGCTTTATTGATTACTTCATCCACCCACAGGGCCAAACATTCTTAACAATGGAAGGGGAAATGCCGTTGGCTGAACACATAGACGTGATATCATCAGACGAATCAAGTTCCTCGTCGGGCGTTGAGGCTGAGGTCAGTGACGGATTTTCCTCACAGAAGGCAGAGGAGAATGTCATACTCAATGCCACTTACAAGAACATCACCCCTGAAGGTTGTATTCATCTCTTATGAACACACATTTGCTAGCCTTTTGTCTATATATACACATATATACATATACACAGTGATGGGTGTACGTCTTCATTGGTCTGATGAGGAGCAAATGGTGGTGATGAGAAACAGGTGCATTGTACAGAAGAGCAGAAATGTACCAATATTACATGAAGCAAATCCCCATCCCTACAGACCGTGGTTCTCTTATTCCATTTACCACATGGGTTGGATTAGGAAACTCTATCAAACAACTGTACGGCCAGCCTTTGCATTACCTCACAAACGTTCTACTGAACCGGTGGGATCAATCGAGGGTTGGGTCGGAGGCCGAGCATCAGCCCTTGGACACCATAATCCATCCGTCTAAGGCAGAAGCAACCGTCTGGTTCATCGAAGAGATTCATCGAAGAACCTCATCTCATCATCACATTGTGAGTCTATGGCAATCAGATCCCATGTATCACGCCTTTATTGACCCAGTTTATCCAGAGTTGTAAAGAGTTCAATGGTGGATATAATTTGCTGTACAAGCCTTCTTCAATGGTTGAAGCTCAGGCAAAATAAATGAACTGTTCCTGTTGTGTCTTTGCATTTAGCTTCATGATCGGCCATCTCTTCAACGTTTGGATTCTTAAAAACTTTTTAAATTTAGATCTGAAAAGAAAAACTCAACTTTGTGAAATCCCAGAAAAGGGTTATTCGATATTTGAGCAAAGAACAAAAAAAAGCCAAGCTTCCGGTGGCCAATATGACAGGTGACAACGATTTCTTTAATGAAGAAAACCAAGAAAAGGAAGAGAGAAACTGCAAAGGGAATGATCAGAGTAAAGAGAGAAAAACAGAGAGAGAAAAGTAAAAAGGGAAATTTCAAGGGCCGCGGGAGGGGGCGAAGCAGAAGCAGCCGGAGCTCTGGTCTTCGGGGATCATGCCGCCGCCTTTGCTGGTGTCGAGACCTTCCAACATCCGAACCACGTCTTCCATCTCCGGTCGTTTCTCTGCGTTTCCTTCCCAACATCTCTTCATTATGTTCGCCAGTGCTGTCGGACAACATCTTGGAATATCTGGTCGCAGGTTCTGCCTCATCAAAACCATAAAAGATGCGTTAACTTTCCAGTGTTGGGAAAGGAAAAAAGTTTCAGACTTTGAATTCCTTCAAAAGAGATTGTTTCATGATTCAGGTTAATCAGAAGTAGAAAAGGTTTCAGATTGCAGGGACCCGGAAAGAAAGAAGTTGAGATTTTGGATGCTGAAAGAGAGGGAGATTCAGAATTTGGATCAAATTTTACGTGGTAAAACCAGCAAGTTTTAAAATGCTAGGATGAAGAAAGAAAGATGAACAATTTTTGGATGCAGGGTATGAAAAAACTTCAAAATTCGGATAGCCAGGAGAAAGAAAAGGGAATCTCAGATTTAGGGAGCCCGAAAAGAAGAAGAAGAACTGACTTGTCGGACAACTGCAGAAGAGACTTGGACAAAGCTAAGATCAGCATATGGCATGTCGCAGCAGTAGATTTCCCACAGGCATATCCCGAAGCTGTAAACATCACATCTTCTGTTGTAGGGTTTACCATCAAGAACCTAAACACAGAGAATTATGGTGTTTTTTAAAGTCATCCGAGAGAGAGAGAGAGGGAGGGAGGGAGAGAGAGGGGTTAGCATATACCTCAGGAGCCATGTATCCAAGAGTACCAGTTTCACCAGTCATGTCCTTTGGATTCTGAGCTTCCACCCGAGCAACTCCGAAATCAGCTATCTTCAGATTCCTGCTCGTGTCTAAAAGCATATTTTCCGTTTTCACATCACGGTGAACGATTTTCTTCGAATGCAGATAGCTTAGCCTGCAATAAACGCTCGGTCAAACTACCGATTTCTTCAAAAGTAGAAACAACGCGAAGAGATTGTTGGAAATTACCCTCGGGAGAGATCCAGAGCGAGTTGGATCACGACCTTGTAAGCAAGTTTCTTGCGCCTGTTACGGATTAGAAACTGTTTAAGAGTTCCGCCCGGAAGATACTCCACAACGACACAACATGCTCGAGAAGGCAACGATTGTTCATCAGACGAGGGTATCTTGAGGTTTCTTGTTCCCATCGAAGCCCCGACAAACTGTTGATTTAAAAGGGTTTCAAGAGATTAAAAGCTTCTGCAGAAAACGGGTCTTCCATTCCATGGCAAGATCACGATCGAGATCAAGAATGAAGAAAGTAGAGATTCTTGTTATGAACCTTTGTGACATTCGGGTGGTCGAGATTGTGCCAGACGGCGACTTCTTGACGGAACGAAGCCCTAAGAGTGGCAGTCTCTGCATCTGTGGCACAACCATCTTCACCCCAATCAAGAACTTTCACTGCAATTGCCCAAAAACAAATCAAAAGAGCCATAATCACTCAAAACTAGTTCAACTTGTTCTTATCCTGCATATGCAGAGTGGTCATTGCGGCACCAGTAAAGCTGAAACATACTAAAAACATTCAATCTCCGACACAAAATTCCGATCCATTGGGAAAACAAAGAGGCCGAGCATTAACAAATTTGATGGATTCTTTTGGCAATTTCTGAAACATACCTGCAACATCTTGGTTATCATATGTGCCTCTGTAAACAGTGCCATAGGCACCACGAGCAATGACATGTCTCATCTCCAACTTTGCCAAATCAATCTCCCATTCCTCCTTAGGCCTCTGGTTCTCAATGTTCCTCGACCAAACCCTACTCAGATGTTTCTCCAACTGCATGTCCAAGCTCTTCAGATCGATCTTATCTGCCCGAAAAATCATGTCTTTCTTGCTATTGTTGTCAACAGCTTTTCCTCTGGGATTGTTACCAGCAGCACCACTGCGATTTGGCTCTGTTTTTCCTGTTTGGTTCGGTGATTTCACACCACCGCCAGCTTCTTCTTCTCCTGGTTTCTGATCCATGTTTCTTGCAGAGAGAGAGAGAACGAACTCACAAGAACCCTAATTTATTCGGAGCAAACCCGAGTGGAAACAGAGAATTACCGGGAAAACTTCGAAACCCAGATGTCTATCTGAGATTCTGAATCAAAAGTTTGACTCTTTTCTGAGAAATATTCAGGTTTTCATCATTATCAAATCAAGGGTTTTCAGATTTAAACATGAACAAAGACACGAGAAAGAGAGCCTACAAAATTTATGAGCCCGAAAATTTTTATGATGGAGGAGAAAACTATTTCACCAACCGCGATTCCTACACAGGTTCAGAAATCCAGATTCTACAAAGACATGATAACCCAAAAAAAGATTAGATTTGATTTTCACCACTAATAAGAAATTCCACAATGCTAAAATCCCCTAATTCCATTATCCAAAAAAAAAAAGGAAAAACATTCAAAGAAAATCCAATGACAAACTGGAGAAGACAATGATTCATATATGAAAAGAAAATTAACAAAAGTAAACCCTAAGAAAACGACTCGCCGCCCACCATTTTCATCTGACCAGAGCACGAAAATTCTAAGTAATAATCCCAAAAAAAAAAACTCAAATAATACTACGATTCAACCATTTGGAAAAACCAAACGTCAACTCATATCATCACCAAAAAGCCATGCAGAACCCAGAAGCCAAAACCATCCCCCCATTAAAAAGAGATCGACCCAGAAACAGAGGACGAAAGATATCCACCGAAATCTGTGGGGGGAAAGAATCAGCACAGAACAGGGGATTTTAATGGTGGGTTTTGGATTTTGCGGCGAATTGAACGAGATTCCTCAAAGATGGAGCAAAAAAGCTGAGAACTTTTTTCTAAACTTTGCCTTTTCTTGTTTTATTTTTTGTGGACGAAAAGGAGGAGAGATCTAAGAGAGAAGCTAAGAACCGAACAAAAGGAATTGGGAAACGGAGGAGGAGAGACAGAGAGCGAAAGGCGGAGAAAATGGCTGTTTCCGGTTGCAAGTCAGGGCTGGTTTTGTGGAGACGTACGTATATTTGCTTTTTTGTGTGTGAGAACCAAAAAAATAGTATATACTTTACATGGAAAAATAATAAAAACCGAATTTTACTATTCAATTTACGATTGTGTAATAATATTTTTAGTCAAACAACACGTCAACACCACTATTGAATGAATATTATTCTTATTATGATTCTTTTTTCGGCTAAGTTGAATTGTTTTAATTTTTAATTTTCATTATTATTGGTATAAAGTTAGAAGAAAATATTATATGAAAATGTTTGTATTATTTTATTTGTTAATTTTGACTAAAAAGTCGTTTCTCTCGTGAGTGTATAATTTTAATACTTCCATTATTGGTATATATATATATTATATTAAACAATTATTAAAACACAAAGCGTATTTCGGTATATTTTTTATAACCCAAAGGTTGACCGAATGTTCTTTCTAACTATATCTTTTAAATGATCTAAAAAATTCATTCAAATATCCATCCCCAAATATAAACTCGAATCTAAATTGAAAAAAAAAATTGTCTCATCATTTACCAATTAAGTTATCCGATCTCGAATATTTCGGTATATTTCTAGAACATGCTAAACTATAATATATCATTAATTCTTATTGATTATTCGCATGCATAATGTAATTGAATTTAATTAGATCGTTGACATTGTATCTTAATTTAGTTAGGTTTGACATTAGTTGATAACATATAATCCTATAATATTAATGTCCCATCAAATTTTGTAGAGGAAATTATAAAATAATATATTATCATTTTTGTCACGGATTTCTACATTTATTTTTACCCAAAAAAGCGGCCATAACCAAGCGTGGACGGACTTTTCCGTACAGAATGTTTGGTGGGAAGTTTCTTTTAATAAAAAGAGAATATCTTATGCTGTGATACAGAAATCAGATCGTACCACCATGTGCTCCTTGGACTGATTTCATGGTCCATAATTTTATTTACATATTTATTTATTTTATGATTGAAGGGTTATTGTTGTCCGTACCATTTTTGTCGAACATTAATTTGCCGGATTTGGTAGATTTTTCCCCATAATAATACTTTGTATTTTCCAATTTTTACCAATTTTATATGTTTTGCTAAAATTGATAATAGTAAATATCAGCAAATACAATGCATTCGATTATATATGTTGTTGGTTAGACCATGCATGTATAGAATTAATATACCCACATTTTCTGCCAAAAAATAAAATGATTATATGATCCATGTATATTCAATATGTACACTTTTGAACATTCATAAAGTGTAATTTGCATAACCTAAAAAGGTTGTATATAATTATTATTATATCCATATATGTTAATAAAATATCTATTTCGGAATATTATTATTTGCCTAACCTAAAAAAGGTTGTATTTAAAATTTTCCCCTTTTGTTTCTCGTGTCTCTTTTATTATATTATTTAATATTACGAGAAAATTTTAAAAAAATGATGTAAGCGTACGATACGTACAAGGGTACGTTCTTAAATAAGATTTGTCGTGAAATGAAATGAAAGAGAGATATGGTGACATCTTTCCACACGCACATTATATATATATTATATAATGAGATCGTATCGTATTCCTTTTATTACGCTTTGGAAGTACGATTTCACCTTTTTTTAGTTTCTCTCTTTAATAATAATAATAATAATAATAATAATAATAACAATAATAATAATGGCTAGGAATAGATCTTTGATTTAATAATATAAAAAACGATTTAATTGAAATAATAAATAATTGAGTTACATGTAAAAAATGGTTGATATTATTAAATTTAAAATATAATTTATTTAATATTAACCAAATTAGATTAAGTACAAAATAAACAAAATCAAATTATAACAAAACATGTTTAGAATGGATACCGGATTCAAACAAATTATAGTAAAATTCAAGTCATATCGACGTTTAGTATTTCAATTTAATAAATATACATTTGGAATGTAAAATCTTTCTCATTAATAAAAATAATGATGATTAATAATTAATATTGTTGTCATGTGAATCCCCTAAGTTTTATCACTATAAGTATTTATTATGGTTCACGGCCGTGACAGTAGCCATATCTAGTGTTGTCTACAATTCAACATGTAATATTTTTGTTTTCACTAGGGAATAAGTTTATTTAAGAGTCGAATAAAAAAATGGTTACTTTTGTTTATAAATTAATAAACTCAGAATCCTATAGATTAGCATTTTAAATATCGCGTGATGAGATCCTTATTGCCACAATTTAGTTAATATTTATATTTTTTTTTTCATGAACATTCTCTTCAACCTTATAGTTTTTATGATAATATTTATATTTTTATTTGATTAGGCACAAACATACAAGGCCTAACAATTTGATAGGCCCATTATGTATGCTTCGTTTTATGGCTAATTATTATTTGCCAAATGGCCCATTTCTCATGACTCGGGCTAATTACAAGCGTATTGAAGCCCAAATCGAGAGCGAGTTTGGGCCATTGGAATTACACAAATCTCTAACCTTTTTATTATAAAGTATAATTAAATTCTGATTTAAGTTACACACTCAAATTCTCATTTCGATTAACACCTTCTGTAATGATTCTTTAGCTATACGCAATTTCACGATGCATGCGGGTCATCTTTTTTTTCAATTGCATGCATACGTACATGCATACATAGTAATCCTAAACTCTAAATTATTATCGTTATAATAATATTTTTGAAGTTTCTATAAGTGACGGGAGGAATTTCCGTATTATAACTTGGATGCTCTAATGGTATCTTTTTAATGACGAAAAAAAAATGCATGTTGAGTAGAAATGTAATATTTTGTAAAACGAAGTTTTCATCTGAAATTTAAAAAAAAAATGTTAAATTCGAAACTAAAAATGATACGGAAGGAGTCAGAGATTCCGTGGTACAAACACAAGTGTGCTAAATGATTGCTTTGGTGCGTTGGCTTTTCCTCTGGTCATTTATACCAAGCAAGGGGATCTTTTGACTAATTGTTAAAATATTTATATTTTCTGTAAATTATTATTTTATTTATAACTTTGATTATTATGTTCATAAGCTACGTACGTGACAATGACATGCATGAAAATTTCACAAAACAGCTTTAATATGTCCCAAATTTCAAAGACCTATTAGATTTAGTACGAATAATAACAATAATAATTTATGGCAAAATACGTGATTTACGTCACGTGGCGCGTGACAGAGGAGCATGTTTCGTCGACACTATGATTTTAATTTTTACGCATGGATCTTCTTTTGGCAGACGAATGTGCTTTTTGGTTTTTTTTCATACGAAATAGTTGGACCGTCATTGTTATTTCATTAATATTATTTAAATAAATTATCTGTAATCAGTATTGTATTTTATATGAATATAGGTATTTTGTTGTGTTTTAGTTTCGGAAGTCAGGTGAGTATCATTGCGACTCAATCTATGACCGATCAAACAGGTTTTGTCAGTCCATCACATTGTTGTTGTTCATCGTCACTCTTTGCAAATGTTTACCAATATATATATATATAATAACACAGCCTGTTGGTTTTATAGATATAATCAAATCATAAATACATATATATGTTCTCTTTCCATATTTATTTTTATTCTCATAAATGTATGTTGCAAATATTTTCGTCCTCTTAAAATCCAAATCTGATAAAAAAAAAATTACGATTTACATATGAAAAGATAGTATCAACTATTTTTCGGATTATAAATTTCAAAATAAAAAAAAGGTTTTGAAGATTGTATAATATTGGGTAAATTCTCCAGGAACGTTTAATATTATTACAATTTTTAAAAAAATTATTATTAAATATAAATCCTAATTAGAAACTCTAAACTTTAAACTAAACCTAAGCTCTAAACTCTCTCTAATTTCTAAACTCTAAATTCTAATTTGATTCTAAATTTTAAATCTTAAACCATAAACCAGAGATCTTAGGGTTAGAATATATAGTTCTAAACCCTAGCTTTTCATAAACTTTAAATCCATAAACTTAGACCCTAACTTCAAAATCCTAAAATTGAATTATAACTTTTAAACTAATTCTAAATTCCAAAATTTAAATCTTAAACTACAAACAATAAAATTGAGGGTTTAGGGTTATGGTTTAGTGTTTAAAATTCAGATATTAGAGTAAACTCTTAAAAAATTTAGGGTATAGAAGTTATAATTATTGAGAATCTAGAATTATACTTTAAAATTGTATGGTGTGTAAATTATTAATTTTTTAAAAAAACTAAAATAGGAAGGTATCATTATTATTCTCTTGAAAATTCCTTGTTTTAAACAAAAAAATGTGACAGTAACCGACTTTGACGGTGCCTCTTAATTACAGTTATCAATCCAATGAATAAGTCAATGTAAAAAAATCCAAACAAATCAATACGACGGCGTTTTCCATGTGTTTCCCCCCTACATAAGTACGGGAGACACGAGATCTGGGTTTGAGCCCCACGTGCTTAGACTATCGTGCACCGTCATTTGCAAGTTATCCATCCAGATGTCTCCACGTGTCCGAATCTCAACCGTCAACTTTGCATCTCATCTTCAATAAGGTGAAGCCCAGCGTATACGATAACTCCGTGGTTCCGAAAAGATTTTCCCGCCCAAGGTCACGTAACGTCTAGCTGTCAGTTTCCAATTTCCGAAAATGCCCATAACGTACGAAATCATTTGGGGATAAGGACATGGTCATAAAGGTAATTTACAAAGGTAACCCCACCGTCGAATTTATATATTTAATTTCGGGTCTTTTAACTTTATGACGTCACGGGGAAGACATGTTTGGCTAAGAAAAAAGAAGGGATAAATAATAATAATAATAATAATAATAACTTATTTTAGCGTTGTAGAGTAGCTATATATATGTATATGTACACCTATTCACGGTTCATGGTGTACAGTTATTATTTGGACGTGATATTAACATTCCACCAACCATTTAAATATAAATGTGAATAAAATTCATTTGTCTTTTTTTTTTCTTGTCAGTTGTTAGAACACGACAATCATATAATTTTTACTTTTTTTTATGGGGGGGGGGGTGTGTATATATAGTATATAATTTTTTTATTTTTTTTTTTAAAAATAAAAAAACATTTGCGACGGAATGCGACGGAAAAAATTCCGTCGCAAATTGCGACGGAATTATCCGTCACTTTCCGTCGCAAAACGCAGATTTTTTCCGTCGCAAAAATGCGACGGATTAACGACCGTTATGCGTTTGCGACAGCGGTATACCGACGGAAATAATTCCGTCGCATTCCGTCGCAAATTCTTAATTACGACGGATTTCCTTTATATTTGCGACGGATTTTTCCGTCGCTATATAACTGTTTTTTTGTAGTGTGGTGACATCGGTGAAGAGAAACAGAATAACAAGAGGGTCTATAAATAGATAAGATCAGACCGGGGTTTTAGACGCAATATATGAATTAAAGGGGTCATTTTGTTATTATACAAAATGTTTGGGTCAAATATGAGAAAAAAAAGAAAACGAAGTGACAAAACAAAATGTCATAAAGGAAAAAAAGGTGGTCCAAAGTGTTGCCGTGAAAAAAAAAAGAATAATTAATAACGATGCCCAATACCCTAACCCTCATGCAGTTCAATTGCAGACACGACCGTTTAGTTTTAGTGTGCGTGTTTGGTTGTGTAAAGAGCATTCATTACTTTCTCTTTGGGGGCCCCCTCCCCCCCTTTGTTTTTCCTTCTCGATCTTATTTTATAATTATACAAAAATATATTGTCTAATTTCATTACCAATATATACACGGTGATTGTTAGATTTCTTATGTAATCTAGAAAAAAACGATTTTTTTTAATGATGTGTTTATAAAAAAAAATGAGACTAGAGAATATGGGCGGTTTATATAATAGTAGATATTTTTTTTTTAACTATGTTGTGAATTGTAGTAAAATTAATCGTAAGAAGTGTTATATATATATATAAAGAAGTGTTATATATATAATTAATTAATTAAAGATTGATCTACTAGAATTAAGAAAAATAAATATGCAGTCGTGGCTCATCTTCCAATGTAATTAATAAAATAAAAGAGATGGTTTGACTAATTAAAGACCTAATAAGCCCGAAAACTAAAAAAGCGATCTTAACACATGCATAAAAGCATAGCCTATGGATGGTCCGAAGAATAAATGTATGTCAAGGATCACATTTTGTTTGACTTCTATAACTCTCCATGCCTATGCCTCAACAACATCTGCAAATCACATCACACGGTCCATAAACTACAATATGAAATTAACGATTAGATTGAAATCACGTAAGGCGCCGGTGACAAAAAAAAATACGGATACATATATGGAAAATGTAAATATATATCATTGAGCTTACATTTTTTCATTATATTGTAAGCTATATATGCGTTATACCTAACAACCTGCATCAATTTCAAACATATATGTATAATGCATTAACCTACTCCGATTTTTCATGTTCTAGGATCTCTCTCTCTCTCTCTCTCTCTCTCTATATATATATATATATATATATATTTGCTACACTATGAAAAAGAATTCACAAAATTGCGTAGAATGTTTAATATCGAGTTAGTGTTTGTGTTGATTGCCTATCAACAATATCATTTGATATACGAAGTATTCTATAGTACTCAACGGTCATCGTCGATTAATTGATACTACATGCTTGTAGAGTGGATGTACATAGATGCGTGTACGTATATATATACAAGCGTATATATACGTGCGTGTGTGTGCATAATTAAACCACTTTCCTCAAAAGATTCCTTAACGCAATCTCACCCGATGATACCTTTTCTTTGCAAAACTTACTCTAAATTCGCTAGTGTTTGCCCAACCTGTAGTTGGTCTGTCACAGCTGCACCGTATTCGCAAGCCATTTTTGAAAATTATTGATTTCGACAATCTTTTGATAACGACTTTTACACACATATATATATATATATATAACATATATATGTGTGTATATATATTGTACCTAGCTATCCGATGCAATATATAGCTTTCTCATTGATCATAAGTTTCTTATGTTTGAAAGCAAGAGAGAAAAATCAAAATTGGCCAATATAATAATTTGCTAGTTTTGTTTTTTTCCTTTTTTTAAATAGTTTTGTTAATTTTCTCTCAATACATACTTCATATTTTCGTTTATCAGCACAAAAAAGATGCAATATATATCTGCGCTTCATCACAAAGTCACGGTATAACTTTGCTTCAGTTGTTTCTGGATTTGACTCTTTATTTTTGAAATGATGATATATATCATTTTTTCTGTTTATTTGGCCTTTTTCGAATTCGATTCAAATGTTTTTTTATTACAAATATTTATCTTATTTATTCAATTTTTCGATTATTTTTATATTTAATTCAAGTGCTTAATATATATATATATAAAATCAGCCTAAAAGATACAATTAACACAACTCGTATAGATCATTAGTCCGTGTAAAAATCTAAGAAACCATGATTAAATGGTTTAACTTTTTTTTTTTTATAATCCGGAAGTTCACCGGGCCTTTGGTCCGACTACATCTCCCAGAAGATCGGGGCTTTCCCGGTCCGTTTTTTTTTATATTATATCTCCCTAATCCAAAATGGTCCATATGCATACAAAAGTGTAGATGGACTATAAATAAAGCTATTATGTATGTTAGTACATTGAACATGCACACACATATATATATATACATATATGTAGAGAGAGAGGGAGAGAGATAAAGGCCATGAGAAGAGTTAAAACAGGCGTGCTTACACCAACTGGGATTAGATACAAACGTAGCTTTCCAGCTTCATACATGTATCACCCACATTACTGCCACTGCTACATATGCATCATATCATAGAGAGAGACGATGATAATGATAATGATGATGATAATGGTGGTGACCATGATGGCTCATATATCGATAACCCCGAATCATGTTTGTAGATTAACAGATAGGAAATTGTAAGTTCATGACTTTAAAACAAGAGTTTAATAAAGTTCATGGTCTTTTTGGATGAAAATTAGATGGAATTTCAAATTTTATAATAAGATCAAACGTGACACATTCGTTGAATTTTCTATACTGTGAAAATATGTAATTTTATATCTTTAGTTCAAAAGCATATATGCAATCTCAAATTTCAAAAGTAAAATAAGATAAAATATAAACATATACACAGACATTTGAAAGAATAGGTGTATTATGTGGGGGATGTAGAGGGTTTACTAAAACGGTGACGTTTGGTGGGTCGGGGCAGTGAGTAGCCAGTGTGGGGCTGAGCCTATGGCCGATGAATGGTCGGTCCCCTTTGCTCGAGTGTTTACTGCTTATTCCCTTCCAAATCCCTTTTATAAGACGCACGTGATATATTATTATTTAACTATATTGAAATATTATTAATTTAATTAATTAATTGGCTCGATCAATAATTCTATCATATATATACACACACACACACACGTACGTACGTGCATAACATGTCTAGTGTGTGCATGTAAGTCTATTACATATTCCCTAAATTATTTTAAGATGGTTTATATGCATTGCGTAACCACGCATAAGAATTGTATAATCACTTCAAACTCAATATTTTTGTGAAGATTATAATACTATATATTAACGGTCCATCAATCTATCCGCGTTAAAGAAACCATTTATAAAGAAAACTTTGTATGCAAAACATTTCAAAGTTAGAGGATAATATAAATATATTCTTAAGGGATTTTAAAATCTCAAAAAGCTCTAATTATATAATATTAACGTTGTTTTCTAATTCACTGCTTTTCATGGGAGATTCTTTTACAACAATTCCATGTGATGTGTTACTTAAAGCACTTGTTCTGTCTGTATCTAGCCAACCACACAACCACACACACACACACACATATATATATATATATATATGCGTATGTGTGTGTGATATGTGTAAATTGGATTGAATATTAGGGTGCAAATATTGGTAAGATTAATCATGCACAGAAATCTCAACCATTTATGTGATATATATAATTGGTCCTGACATTTAAATTTCATAATAGACCCATCAGAAATATTAATGGGATTGGACCGGCAATATAACGGAGGCCCAATTGTATCAAAAACAATACCAATAAGTACAACCATACCGGAGATAACCGACTGGTTTTCAAAATGAAAAAAAACAGAGTTCGGATCCCATTTACATATATGAAACTGAATTTGAGGAAGGGTTTGGATTCCGGTTCCCGCCTCACATAAACCTTATATCCCAAGCAAACCCACAATTCCTTTCAAAAATTCAAAATCAATCTCTCCTCTCTCTCTCTCTCATTTCAAAAATTCAAAATCAATCTCTCCGTCTTTCTCTCTCTCATTCTCAGTCTCAGTTCAATCTCTGATTAACTCAGAATTTCTTCTACCAAAGCGAAGATGATCGCTGCTTTCAAGTAAGTAATCGATCTCTATACTGTGATTCTTCTGCACCCATCGGTTTTGGTGTAGATTCCTCGTATGGCTTCCTGTGAATGTTAACTTCTCGTTGTTGATTTTTTGTATCGGTACTTTTTGTCGGCCGTTTCCGGTCATAGAGCTGAAGAAGCAAGCCAGATGCAGCTCGTTGAACGAGAAGAAATTGACGATGACGAAGACTTGTTTGAAGCTATTGATAAATGTAAGTTTCAATTTATCATTCGAATCTTATCGCTGGAGTCTGTAATAATAGTGTCTGGTGATTCTTCTTTAGATTTCATTTAGATCTTCATATTATGGTGGTGGGGATGGTCTTTCCTGTTTCCTCTTGATTTCCCGGGACTATTTCGTCTGCATTCCCTTGCTTGAGTATCCATTCGGATCTGGATTGGGTTTTGGCTATCAGCATGTTGTAGAAATCTCGATTAGATTTCACTGGTGAGATCGAGTATAATCGTTGAATTCTCCGAGCATAAAAATTTGTTGATATGAGGTAATTTATAGTAGTATCTGTAGACTTGTTCGATATTAGGCAAATTCATGTCTGTGATTGATTTTCTAATCTGGCATGGACTTTGCAGTTGTTTTCATCCCCTGACTTTTTTTATCCTCTGCCAGTAATCGCTCAAGGTATAAATGCCGGAGATGTTAAGAAACTTCAAGACGCCGGTATCTATACATGCAATGGCTTGATGATGCATACCAAAAAGGTATACACGAGTTTGCTTTTAGCATCATGCATTACAATTACATTCAGTACTATTCTGACTGCAGTTGGATGAAAAAACTATTGCGATTTGTGCAGAACCTCACTGGAATCAAAGGTTTATCGGAGGCCAAAGTTGACAAAATCTGTGAAGCAGCTGAGAAGATAGTGGTTAGCCTTCAGTGATCATTCCTGTCTTGCCTGCATGATTCATATCATTTTCCTCTTGTCAATATTTTCCAACGTTTCTTCAATTGTCTCAACTTTTGTCCTACAGAATTTCGGTTATATGACTGGGAGTGATGCTCTGCTCAAGGTTGGACTCAATAATTTTACTTACATTTTTTAAACCTGCAGTGCATTGCTGTCCTCATTCTCTTGCTTGTACTTATAATTTGATGCTTTCTTTTAACCTTTCACTTATAATTTTGAACCTAATAAGTTGCATTTGACATTTTTGTAGCGGAATTCGGTGGTTCGGATCACTACAGGGAGCCAAGCTCTTGATGATCTCCTAGGAGGTAACACTGCATTCCAGTTTTACTGTTTGCTATCTTCATGCCCGCATTCTGCAAGTGTTGTGAATTAAATTTCTTGGTAACGTCTGGGAAGGTGGAATCGAAACTTCAGCCATCACAGAAGCTTTTGGGGAGTTTAGGTGGGAATTTTCCTTGCCAATGAATGAATAGCAAACACATCTTCTGAAAGAGTTATGCAATCTGAATTTCCCTGTAGGTCTGGGAAAACACAACTGGCGCATACCCTCTGTGTCTCCACACAGGTTCTTTCATTTGCCCCCTCCTTTCCTGGACATGACTTAATGGTTAAGCAAATAACCATTGAACAAGTATCATTCCTGTATCTGATGTTATGCAGCTTCCTACGAACATGAAAGGTGGGAATGGCAAGGTGGCTTACATTGACACCGAAGGAACTTTGTATCCTTGTATATGTTATCTATTGTGCGTATCTTGGGACAGAACATTGTATTGTCTTTCTGTAGCTATAATTCGCTAGTTTTGGCTTTAACCCCCGAATGTTATAGCCGACCCGATCGGATTGTCCCAATAGCAGAAAGATTTGGAATGGATCCGGGAGCTGTGCTTGACAATGTAAGGATCATATTCTCGTCTCATACCCCTCTAACATCAATATATACGTATATTCACAACTCTATCTCCATGCGACAGATCATTTATGCCCGTGCTTACACCTACGAACATCAATACAACCTGCTTCTCGGGCTAGCGGCAAAAATGTCTGAAGAACCATTCAAGCTTCTAGTGAGAAACTTTCCTGCCTGCAAACTCTTCTTTCGTTCCCCTTATACAACATTTCAACATAACGGATGAGTTGGTTTTTGGCGGGGTTCGAATGTTCACAGATCGTTGACTCAGTCATTGCTCTATTCCGAGTGGATTTCACCGGAAGAGGCGAACTCGCCGAGCGACAGGTCCATATAACAATCAAATCCCCACCCTTAACACTCTCATCAGCAAAGTCCAAACTAGCTAACAGAGCCTAGTTTGCATTGCAGCAAAAACTAGCACAGATGCTTTCTCGGCTCATCAAAATCGCCGAGGAATTCAACGTCGCTGTCTACATGACCAACCAAGGTAACTCATGAATCATATATACACACACATACATGTATTTACAGAGAGTTGGTTTGCAGTGATAGCCGATCCAGGAGGAGGAGTGTTCATATCGGATCCAAAGAAGCCAGCGGGAGGGCATGTGCTCGCTCACGCGGCCACGATCAGGCTAATGTTCAGGAAAGGCAAAGGCGAGCAACGTGTGTGTAAAGTGTTTGATGCTCCAAATCTCCCCGAGGCTGAAGCAATATCCTTTCACAAACTCAATACACACACACATATACACAGACAAGGAGACATTCCTTTTTTTCACATTTTTGGTTCACCAATGTGAATTTTCCTTAACAGAGTTTGGCACATTTTCCAGATAACCCCAGGAGGAGTTGCAGATGCAAAGGACTAAAACCGAAAGAACAGCTTTATATATATATATATATACATATACATATATTCACTTATGCATCTACCTACTGTTTTTCTTCTTCCTGTTTTTCCCCCCTTCTTGTTAGAGGCATGATGCATACATAAGCATGTCATCAGATTTCCTTTCTTACAAATTTTTTTAAAAAAATTTAAACTCTTGTTTTGGTGTCCCATCAGATGAACTCATGACACACGTAAATGGATCTATGTCAAATCATAGGCAAAGACCAGACCACCATGGATCCGAATAAGTTTATTACTTAAGTTACTAAGATCTGCAACATAAAAAGTACACTAAAGCAGAAGAGATGTGTATGCAAAATCCAGTCTCTGCACTGAAACGAAAAAAAAAAAGGCTTTTCTTTGTCTAAGTCTAGGGTTCAAAGGGGCAGAAGAACAAACCAGAGTTAGGGTGTTTTGTTTCAGACTCGGTTGTATGCAACAGACTTGCTGAAGAGCTTTCGGATGTAGAGAACCTGAAGGGCACTGGCTGCTGCCAGAAGAAGGTACTCTCCCACCGTGTAGAATATCACTCGCTTTCTCGTGCTCTCGTTGGCTGCACCCACCAAAAAGCCGATTACCATTTCGATCCCAAACGCGGGGAAGAAGAATAAGGAGGAAAACAAGATTCGGGATGCGAAATAAGGTGAGAATTATGTGGCAAGAAGATGAATGTGAAGGAGGTTTCACCGAGGTTATGAGAAGCTGAGAAAACATGCATGCTACTCTTATTTTGCATACTATGTTTACAGTAAAAAAACCGATGAAAGTCTGTAAAATTGATTTGAATGTGCAGAAGGGTATCAATGAAAATTTTAAGGGCTTAATACTGAATTACTAAACACGATGATCACACGTCCAAAAGGACAAAACATGTAGATGCAGTCCATTAACTATTAATTTACCGCATTTCATCAACTTTTACATGTCATGGAAACAAGACAGGGATTACGAAGAGATAAGAAAGTTGGATTAAAGTATGCTAAGACGAATGGAGAAAGAAAGAAAACTCACTGTGACGGTGTCGGGCATCACGTGCTTTCAGATATTTTTGCTCGGAAATAACAGATTCCAAAGCCTCTCTCAGCTCTGCGATCTTAACGTTTATCGGGTCCAAGTGTTCTGAAAACACACACAAATGAAAAGAGGAACGTGGAATCAATCAGCTCATTCACTATCTATGGGAAATTGGGAATTGTCTTATAGAAGCGAAATGTATGTAATTATAATAAGGAAATCCTCGTCATAAAGGCTGGGACGGACCGTCTTTGGCTACATCGTGTTCATTGGGAATATGACCGACGTGGATATAAAAGGAGACAGTTTCCGGTGTAGAGTAGGGGTTGTGGAAGCAGAATTTGTACATCCCACTTTTCGGTGCCTTGAACTCGAACTTATCTCCAGATGTTCCTTTTAAACTGTGTACGACATTCCCTGCAGGGGATGAGACCTGTATGGAAAAAGCAAAAAACTCAAAATTACATTAATGAAAACGATAGCCGACTTGATCATAAACCCACGCCCAGTTGATGAAACATGATTCAGCAATCTCAACACGATTCGTAAAGTCAAGCTATGACTAAAAGAGAGATCCAAATTCCCCAATCCTAAACATGACAAAAGAGTCATGAGGGACAGAGCTTTTATTCAGACCCATCATCAGAATTCGATGAAGAATTGTGACAAACCACCATTCATTTCGATTAGAACAGGCAAATCTAATGCATGAGACATACACAAGCCACAACTTGGAATGTGTTTGTATACAAACTACAATGCCATAATCATGGATGTCAAACCCTAAACAGATTTACACTTGATCACGTGAAACAAATACTTTAGTCTCTCCGTCACTTCTCAGATAATTCTCTGGTCCAAAACCAGAGATTATCCGTAATTCCCAGAAAAACCAAACAGGTTGTTCATTTACGAAGAGAGTACCTAAATCATAAACAATAATACACAAGATCTACCCTGATTCGCAGAAAACCCTAATTCATCAAGACCCATCTTAGATCACCAAAAGGGTCAGAATCTTGGAAAACACAAAGAGACCAAATTGATCCTTTTTTTTTACAAAAGAACTCAAATTGTTCCAAAATTTACCAGGAATTAAGATGAAATCAACTTTACCCATCGGAATTATCAGATCAAACATCGAGGAAAGATCAAGTAATTGACTTACCTCGAAATCAAGACCAGGGTGATCCGAACCCCAGAAGATATCATGGTCGACGACGACGAAATTTCCCGACACAGTGTCGCCTTCGTAGAGAACGTACTCATAGACGCATTCTACGTTGTTCACCGTCACGGAGAGGGACGAAATTCTTCCGACCAAACTCAGCAGTAACAGACCGACCAACAAACTCTTCGGATCTCTGGCTTGTCCTGTCTCCATCTTCGTCGTCTTCGCCCGAAATTCTCCGTTTGTTTCTCGAGAAAATTCGCCAAAAGCAATACAGTGTATTATAACGCGCTCTCACAAACCCGAGTTTAGTACATGAGACAGACATCAAACCGGATCTTCGTAGATCGGTTTATTTTGGTTTAATAAAAATGTCTGTACAAATGTTTTTCTTATTAATTAATTAATTAATAAACAAAACAAAAGAACAAATTCCCGAAATCTCAATTGAATTGAATCTACCAAATTCATAACACATAAAACATATTATTGTTGATTCCGATGATCACTTCGGGTAATGGAAACTTTAGTCTCTAAAATGATATTATCCAATAGAAATATACAGAGAATATTCTAAAAATATATTATTATGGTAAATCTTTTAGAATATATTTTTTTTCTCTGAGTAAAAAGTTTTAGCCTCTGTTTGGAGAAAGTCATTATGCCGCTTAAAAAAAAAAAAAAAAAAAACAAAGTTTGGCACGAGGTTTGGAATCTAATCAAGAAAAAAAATGCTAGTACCCCAAAGTACAATTCATTTCTTTCATATCTACTGGTGGGCCTTACATGGGCCTATTTTTTTTCTCTGAGTAAAAAGTTTTAGCCTCTGTTTGGAGAAAGTCATTATGCCGCTTAAAATAAAAAAACAAAAAAAAACAAAGTTTGGCACGAGGTTTGGAATCTAATCAAGAAAAAAAATGCTAGTACCCCAAAGTACAATTCATTTCTTTCATATCTACTGGTGGGCCTTACATGGGCCTTATTGGGCTTTTTCAGTCTATATATTGTGACCCATAAGATATGATGCAATCTTTTGGGCTCGTTTTTTTCGTAACATATATTTTTTTTATTGTAACAGAAATTTATGCATACATCATAAAATTCCTATAAAACATCCTCTGATAGCGATGTCGGAATAGGAGAGATCATTTAATAAAATAAATTGTTGGTTTGTTTGATGACGTATGTAGAGATTATTTTTTTAATTTTCAATAATCGAACAATTAAATTCCAAAGATTGTATTGAAAAATTTCTCGAATTCTTTTGATTTTAGCCTCGAATTTTCGAGACGCCAAAACCCATGGCCGATACACAGCCCACGTACGTACCACAAGAAAGCATCAATTTTATTCCACGGACGACCACTTTAGGAAAGTTCTAGAAATTTACGAGAAAACCCGAGTTATTTGAGACACGTAACAACAATATCAGCCCCATGTTTTTTCAAGATCTGAGATCCCACTTGGCAAAGATTTAGTGAAGAACAAAACGCCACGTCATCAAACTTTTAAGCATGTGTGGGGACAATTAAAGCCACGTCCCGAGATCTTGGGAGCTCGACGTGGTTCCTATAATATCCACATTCTATTGTCCCACCTACTTCTCCTTTTTTCAAAAGATTTTTTTTACTAAAGATCAAATTAAAGATATGAACCAACATAACGAAAGTTTAACGAATAATCTTAGAATAGATTAAATGTTGAATTTCTAAGTATACATCTGCTTTTCATCGTTTTTTATAGATTGTGATTTTTTTTTGGTAAAAAAGATTGTGATTTTTGTTAATAGCCAAGTCTTGATACAGTTATAATATAATTATGTCCAACTTGTAAATTTTCTTTGGCGTCTTATGGCTTTACCAAAGTGGTGGAATAGCCATTTCAACCACAAGATTTTTATATTTCAATATATTCATTAACGAAAAAGATAGCTAAAAGCTTATTAAAATAAAACAAATAAACAAAATAACACCACCGTTCATTTCTCCACTTCTTACCCTATAAATATATACACCAAACCCTCAACTTCTACACCAAGTATTGAATCAAACCTTCGTAGGTTCAGAGCATAGTTAACGTAGAAGAAAGTTTCTATCTGCATTCTTCGTGCTTCTTGTGTAGTACTGTACTAATCAGCAATGGCAACGGCGTCGTTCGGTATGCAATCAGTGTTCACCGGTCCGGCCACCGGTTCAGTCACTCAAGGGATGAAGTCTAACCGGTTCTGCCTCGCCGGGACCGTACCGGGTTTCAAGAGAAATGCGTCGATGGTGGTCAGGTGCATGGCTGAGGTAACCCACGATTTTCTTGACCCAACGGTTATATCTCACAATTCTACAATTGTATAAACCATCCATAATGCAATTCTGTATAGTGGTTACAAATCATACCCATGGTTCCTGACCGTATGGTTGTTTGGTTATATCAGGGCGAGCCCACAAGGGAGGATATTGTGACCCATAAGATATGATGCAATCTTTTGGGCTCGTTTTTTTCGTAACATAATTTTTTTTTTATTGTAACAGAAATTTACGCATACATCATAAAATTCCTATAAAACATCGTCTGATAGCGATTATTGTCTAATAAAATAAATTGTTGGTTTGTTTGATGATGTATGTAGAGATTATTTTTTTAATTTTCAATAATCGAACAATTAAATTCCAAAGATTGTATTGAAAAATTTCTCGAATTCTTTTGATTTTAGCCTCGAATTTTCGAGACGCCAAAACCCATGGCCGATACACAGCCCACGTACGTACCACAAGAAAGCATCAATTTTATTCCACGGACGACCACTTTAGGAAAGTTCTAGAAATTTACGAGAAAACCCGAGTTATTTGAGACACGTAACAACAATATCAGCCCCATGTTTTTTCAAGATCTGAGATCCCACTTGGCAAAGATTTAGTGAAGAACAAAACGCCACGTCATCAAACTTTTAAGCATGTGTGGGGACAATTAAAGCCACGTCCCGAGATCTTGGGAGCTCGACGTGGTTCCTATAATATCCACATTCTATTGTCCCACCTACTTCTCCTTTTTTCAAAAGATTTTTCTTACTAAGGATCAAATTAAAGATATAAACCAACATAACGAAAGTTTGACGAATAATCTTAGAATAGATTAAATGTTGAATTTCTAAGTATACATCTGCTTTTCATCGTTTTTTATAGATTGTGATTTTTTTTTGGTAAAAAAGATTGTGATTTTTGTTAATAGCCAAGTCTTGATACAGTTATAATATAATTATGTCCAACTTGTAAATTTTCTTTGGCGTCTTATGGCTTTACCAAAGTGGTGGAATAGCCATTTCAACCACAAGATTTTATATTTCAATATATTCATTAACGAAAAAGATAGCTAAAAGCTTATTAAAATAAAACAAATAAACAAAATAACACCACCGTTCATTTCTCCACTTCTTACCCTATAAATATATACACCAAACCCTCAACTTCTACACCAAGTATTGAATCAAACCTTCGTAGGTTCAGAGCATAGTTAACGTAGAAGAAAGTTTCTATCTGCATTCTTCGTGCTTCTTGTGTAGTACTGTACTAATCAGCAATGGCAACGGCGTCGTTCGGTATGCAATCAGTGTTCACCGGTCCGGCCACCGGTTCAGTCACTCAAGGGATGAAGTCTAACCGGTTCTGCCTCGCCGGGACCGTACCGGGTTTCAAGAGAAATGCGTCGATGGTGGTCAGGTGCATGGCTGAGGTAACCCACGATTTTCTTGACCCAACGGTTATATCTCACAATTCTACAATTGTATAAACCATCCATAATGCAATTCTGTATAGTGGTTACAAATCATACCCATGGTTCCTGACCGTATGGTTGTTTGGTTATATCAGGGCGAGCCCACAAGGGAGGATTCTGCACCGTCGTCCTCGCCGGCGGGGGCGACTCCACCGGAGATCAAATCGAAGCCCTCTCCTCCTCCGAAGCCAAAGGTTTGATCTTTCTCTTATCCGGTGAAACAATAAGCTTTTCTCTTCTTGTACGGGCGTGAATCACTAATCCATGTTTCTTGACATACAAAAGGTGAGTACCAAATTCTCGGACGTTCTAGCTTTCAGCGGTCCGGCACCTGAGAGAATAAACGGGCGCTTAGCGATGGTGGGGTTCGTGGCTGCGTTAGCGGTCGAGCTGTCGAAGGGAGAGAACGTTCTAGCTCAGTTGTCGGACGGTGGAGTAGGTTGGTTCGTCGGCACGTCGGCGTTACTGACCGTGGCCTCGCTCGTGCCGCTCTTCAAGGGCGTTTCGGCCGAGTCGAAATCCGGCGGGTTAATGACCTCAGACGCGGAACTCTGGAACGGGCGCTTAGCCATGCTCGGGCTTATCGCGTTAGCGTTCACCGAGTACGTTAAGGGCGGCACCCTCGTGTGAACGCGATGGGTGAATTTACGGTTTTGACCCTAGGGTTTGTATCAAGGAGCAAAGTCTTGTGGGTGTAATGTGGTAAAGAAACTTGCGGAAAAGAAATATAGCGTTTGGTGATTGTTATAGAAATTATATATATATATATACAATTATATATGTTTGAGGAAAAACTGTAATTGTATCCAAAATCATTGGTGATGAGCTCAGATGGGCAAAAAAGAGCAATCAATGCTTTAGTAAAACAACGTGTAGTTTCATTCTTATGTCGGAAAACGACATGCATGCGACGTAAAGGGATACGTAGATTTTGGGCCTGCAACTTTGTGACTGGGTTTCATTGCTTCACACTGGATCCAATGGACACCCTCACAGAGCGATATCTATCCATATATATATATGCATATAATATTATACAAAGTCATATAGATCTATAAGTGCTATTAATCCTCTAAATATGGAATTGGCAATGAAAAAAATCCAGTAAAATCAATAAAAAACCGAATAAGGCATCATCCAATGAAACTGCCCTCGTGGAAAAGTAATTAAAATTAGAGCATAGTGCGTTTCAGTAATATACGAGCTTAGGTTTGGAAATAAATATTATGGTATTGATCTTAATTTCATCTTCATAGCCAACACAAGGGTAGAGATTAAAAAAAAAAAAAAAAAAAAAAAGTAAGGCATCATCCAATGAAACTACCCTCGTGGAAAAGTAATTAAAATTAGAGCATAGTGCGTTTCAGTAATATACGAGCTTAGGTTTGGTAATAAATATTATGGTATTGATCTTAATTTCATCTTCATAGCCAACACAAGGGTAGAGATAAAAAAAAAAGAAAAAAAGAAAAGAGGGGGCCCACACCATGTCATTGGAGATCTAATCAAAGCATGGAGATGGGGACAGAGGGGTGAAAGTGTACTGAGTAATGAAGAAACACGTGCAATGTCACAGGAACTGCATCAGTTTTAAGTCACTCACATCCCCGGCCCATTTCCTCTCTCTCTCTCTCTCATTTGTTCGTATTTTTCTTCTTAGGGTTTCTTCAAAGAGATCTCTTCTCTTCTTCAAATGAGCTTTAATGGCTTAGTTGTAATCTTTGGCTCGAATCTTTGTCAACTTGGACGTGATAATTACCATAGTAATAAGCAGAAGATATCTCCATACAAAGTGTGGCCTTCTCATAGATCTTGGTTCTGTAGTTCAATTTTTTTTTTAAATTGAATTATTGGCTTAATCAGAAAAGAAAATTTTCGAGTTCGATATAATTGTAATGATTTACTATGTGAGTATGTGGATCATTTTTTACATTTAACATCTTGTTTCACATAGCCGTTTAAAAGAAAATCAAACGAGAATCTCCTTAAGTTTGACCTAGTTAAGGGTACGAAAGACATTTTCTGTATTTCTTTTACTTTATCTGAAAATATTGTGACAGACTTTTGTCACAAATAACGCCAAAAGCTAAAATTTCAACCAACGAAATTCGACAATCAAATGAACATTCAGGAATGTTGTAATTCCACTGTCATAAAGATAACAACAATAATAGCTACACATAAAAGAAATACTAAAATATATGGACCGCTAGAAGGTGCCATGCCATGAGGCATGAGATGCCAAAAAGATATATATAAAAAAGAAAAGACAGTAAAATTATAATATAAATAGGCTCAAATTATAAAATAAAGAAATCAAAGATTACGTTTCTACATGACTCAATTCTTACATGAGTATATTTAATTTAAAAAGGACTATTGTAACATCTTTATATAAATCTAATACTAAATTTATTACAAAATCTCGTGATAATTGATCATATGTATATTAATGTTGTGATTGACCAAGGAGCTGGCAGTAATCAAAGGGTTTTAAGTTCATGGAAAATATACCTGAATTAGAAATTAATTAGAATGCAAACCCAGAAAAAGGAGGAATTCGTTGGTTTTTAGCAAACCATATGATTTTGATTATTAAATTAATTAATCAATCATTAATAGGGATAGAGTAATTCCAAATAAATAATCTAATTGTAATTCTCAACAGTTAGATTTTTTTAATTAAATTGCACTATATATGCTACATTATTTGATTATATGCATATGCTTTTATTTTCATGGATTTTCCTCTTTAAAAATACTTAATGTTATGTTTTCTTTCCAAGTAATTAGATTTTTATCTACCTTTTTACATATTCGAAATAGATGTTATTCATTGAGAAAAGGGAAAAGAATCAAAATTTAAAAAAAAAATGTTTTCCAATGAAAACGTTTTTTAAATCTGCAAACAACAAGAGAATAACCTTAATGAGTCCAAGATTAATGCCCATTAATTAGGGACATTGAACAAAATAAGCAAATTAAGAGCAAATTAAACCAAACTATTAAATTAATCATCTCCTCATCAAACAATTCTTCTTCCCATAATTAGCGAGGAATTGAACCCAAGCAGCCTAATTGCTCTACCAAATCATCAACATTCTCCTCTTCACCTCCCAAAATCCCCAAATCTTCTTGAATATTAATATGATATTCATTTAACAAATCCTCCCAAAACCCTTCATCTTCTTCTTCTTCTTCTTCCACATTCACACAGCACTCTTCCTTTGTGTTGTCTCCATGTCCTTGGATGTCCATAGCAAGTCTGTCCAATTCTAACACGCCGAATTCAGACATGTCTTGGTATGTTTCTTGTTTGATGTCATCAAGGTATGCATCAGCATGGCCATGATCATTATCACCATCACCCACCACATCGATGACATTGCTCGTCCCTCGGTCGATCGGCCTTCTTCTCTTCTTGTTGATCGCCTCTTCTAGCTCCTTCCTCTTGTCCTTTTGATGGACAAGTTGTTGCACGAATTCGGGATTCTGCATCGCCCGTGCAAGGAAACTCATCATCTGTTGCTGTTTCGTCTCCGTCTTCTTGAGTTTCTCCTCCATTAACGTCAGATAAGATTTGGTGTTCTGTTGCTGTTGTCTCAGCCTCACGAGCTCCATCATGAGCGCTTGTTTGTCACGCCTTAGCCGATCTATCTCTCCATCAAGACCGAACCTTCCAACTTCAACGCAAGAATCTAGAGATTGTTGTTGTGGTGTCTGCTGTTGATTGTTACACTTTCTTCTCCTAATGGACTTGAGGAGATGCTTTTGCCCCCTTAGAAACCCCTCATTTGCAAACTCCCACCGATCAGGATTGACCTTTCTGAAACCCTAAACGTATCTCAAACCACAACATTTCATCAAAGTTAACCTTCTCATCAGTATAGCTAAAGTTAAGACCTCAAATCAGCTCTAAAATGTAAATGCGAGCATCTACGTCTTGTGCATTTCAAGCATTACAAATATGTAGTTATATCTGGGCTCCTATATGTATGCATGCATCTATATGTATAGACGTCTTGAGCTCATAAAGAAACATATCTACAAACAAAGATTCATAAGTCTATATATGATAAACATCAATTGACAGACATGAATATGTATAGTGTCTATATCTTATGCAACTACATTTGTCTAGATCTCAGTTCTTTCGTGTGTGCGTGTATATATTATATAGGCAGAAGATCCATATACCAATGTTCTAGAGAATTCGCTAGAGGAAAGCAATTTGGAAGATTCTTGTCCTGATGGAAGAAACATCTAGAAAAAATCAACAAGTTGCCTATAAGATATATAATCTCCAGAAGTTTCGGAAACAATCCGGACCAATGCAAATAGTTGACAACAACAAACATCTCTCTCTATATATATACATGAGTGTGTACACATACATCTTTCAAGCTCACACAATATTAGATCAAGCGTCTTAATTGCACCAAACCACTCCAAATTAACCCAACAAATTAACCCCCAATAATAGTTAGGTAAAGTAAACAAAAAACCAAATCTCAATAACTCACATCAAATTTTGCTTCACCATAAAGCTTTAACCCGAGAAAGCATGAAATTAATGTTTCCATCCCCATCTCATCGATTGTCCATGGATCTCTATGCTCTTCTTACAATATATATATATATATATACACACATATATAAAAGTATGCTGTAATCGCCGTAAACAAACAATGCAAATCCTTGGGTAGGTAATTACAAAACCAGGTTGGGTGTTTCTGTAACTTATAGAATTAAGGGGAAAATTTAAGAAAAAACAAAAACCGAAGGAAGATGGCGAAGAAAGCGGAAAGTAGAGAGAGGGAGGGAGAAAATAAATACATAGGTATTGAGCTGTCTGACGAAGCTGGAGAAGTTACTGTGCTTGAAGTGTCTGGGGAGGAGACTCATTGCAAAGGCCTGTGGGTCCCAGACAACGAAGCTGTTGCTGTGTTTGCTCCAAGACACGATGTGATTAGTTCTTGAATCTTCAACTATATCGTATGTCTTTGTCAGAAAAGGCGGTGGCCCAGATTCGCGAAGACCCTCCATTGGTTGAGGAGAGCTCGAATTGGCGGCCATGGTTGAGTAGATGAAAGTGGAAGACGAATATGGTGATGATGATGATGATGATGATGATGATGAGTTATTGATTCCTGGAAACTCCTCTTTTATGGCTCGATATGATGGATCCATGGTTTTCAAGAGCGGAAACGAAGAAAAGTCCCGATCTTTTTGTGGGTTTCCAATGAATCTGGCCAAGTGTTGAATACTATATCAACACGGGTCGATACGAAATGAAATCGGACGAATCTGACGCAGAAATGTGAGGTATTTGAACCCTATAGAAGAAGAAAATAACACTGAAAGGTTGGACCTTTGAAAAATCTGGAGAGAGATGGTGCAAGCGATGGTGTGAGGGGAGGAAGAATGGAGAAGACGGGAGATACGGGAGAGAGAGAGAGAAAGCGAAAGGGGTTTTATAATAGTTATTTATGATGATGGATTTTCCTCTTTTGAACATTGTTTTTTCTAGATTTTTAAATTTTATATTCCATTTTTTGTGTTGGCATCATGATCGAATGGGATCAAAAAGCAAAGCAAAGATATTTTCTTTCTTTCCTAATACGTCATTCTTATATAAAAAAATATTTTCTAATAAATATTTAGGCTTCTAATTATATATGGATATATAAATGTGTTGTGTATCCATATGATTGGTGTCCAAATTATATGAATGCATGTATTGTGCACCGTCTTGGTCTCCGTATTTATTTATGGATATATAAGTCTTTTCGTTGTTCTTATAGGGCGAAAAGAGGAGGGCCAAGGACCATTATAACATAACGTACCAAGAGAAAAAAAAACTTATAAAATGCATAATAAAATCTTACCAATATTGCATTTTATATATATATATATTGAAAATATTAAGGGAGCGAACCTGCACAGCAAATAATTAAAGTTCTTAACAATTCTTTAATCTCGGTTCGAACATTTATGAAAATCACATTATTTAATACTATATATGCCAACGAAGCATTTTTCCGAATTATATATGTTCAGAAAATAGCATTTCAAAATTAACGAGGCCTCAAAGCTTAAACCACTATACAGTCGTCTAATAATATTTTTCTTCTGTTTATGCAGACGAATGCTCAAATTTACGATGGATTTTCAATTATATATATATATATATGTTTCTCATTACCTAATAATATTTGGATTCAGTCTGGTCCAATTAGCATATATAATTAAAATTTATAAGAAATTGACACGTGGGTTGTGAAGAAGCTTACGTGCCCCATCCAATCCATCTGCAGCAGCTTAAGCCTCTCTTTTTAAAACAAAATTTGTCTTAATTTTCTATAAAATGAATTAAATTAATAAATGAAAGATTCGAGGCGTAAGTGTAACCCTAGAAAAAGGGACACGTGCCACCTCTTGCCTTTATGTCTATGTCTATGTCATATCTATGTCGTGGAATGAAAGGAATCACGCGAAACACGTTGACTAACACACCAGAGATCAGGTTATTAGTTTGGGAAAAGATGTAAGATATTTTATTTTTTTATTATTATTTGGTTTAGATATTTTGATTAATAAAATATTATTATCTTACATAAATATTTTCTCCTCATCGCTTGGAAGGAACGCATAGAAAAGCAGACAAGGAACACTTGTCTTTGTAAATAGATTTGGCAAAGTGTGGTCACAGACTTTCACTTGGAATGGTTATTTCAGTTTTAATTTCGGTATTGCATATAACCATTTCAAATTATTTTTTTATGATTCAGTTCGATTAAATTTACATTTATATTTGATTCGCTATTTTATAAAAAGTAACCAATTCAAAAATTTATTATTTTTTGTTGTTGTTTCTTATTCGGTTTGAATTCGATCTTTTCATTTTAAAAATGATATTCCATTCAGATTTTATATCACATTCAATTCAAATACAATTATATATTATTATATTTAAATTGATTGATTTGATTATATGGCTATTAAGTATTAACCAAATATATACCCTACTTTCGTAAACTAGCTTTATCAAGAACGGAAGTCGAATGGTCAAAGGATCAAAGACCCTAAAGTAAAGACACACGAAGTGAAAACTACACAACATGCAGAAGAAGTCCATTCTTCGTACAATGCATGACCATTTTGCATGCAAGGAGATAACGCTTCCTCCTCTCTTTATTGCATATGTTTTTTACTTATACAAACCGATAAATCCGACAAAGCCCTCTAAGCCGAGGCATCGATGGCGTTACCCCCAGCCTCCTTCAGGAAACTGTCGACGTACTCTTTCCTGTACGAAACCCCGAGTTTCCTGGTTCGTTAGCTGAACTATTTCGACATACACAGAGTGTGAGAGAGGGATATAGAGACAATTGTGTTGTACCTTGCAGGAAGATGGTCATGAGGGCGATTGAATGGTGTCCAAACCGGGTCACCCACGAACAGACGCATTGCCTGTTTGAACAACAAAACGACGATAAAGGATCTATTTTTCTTAACGTATCAGACAATTCCCGAAAGGAAAAAGACAAACAAAGGTTTTCAGATTCTCTTGCACTATCCTCTAGAATGCAATGGACAAGTCCTATATACCCCCTTACTAAATTTACCGGTACTAGTTGGTGTGAAATTCTACAAATCCCGAGGACATTATAGATGCGAGAAAGAAGAACTGTTAGCTGGTGATTTTGTTCACATAAATGTATATTTTTTGGTACCTTGATATAGTTGTCTGAATCCAATGTGAAGCGATGGTATATTCCAGCAGGCAAGACTATCATCGCCCCCTTCTTTACCCAAATTCGGATCCATGCATCATTCCGGTCCCTGACATCAAAATAACCTTTGCCATGGAAAAAATGTGATAAGTATGATGCTCTCTTCATAGGTTCAGACAATAAACACAGGCAAGTAAAATGTGCCTACCACTTCCTGCAACGCAGTAGCGGATCTCTTCATCAGTATGCAAATGTTCTTCGAAAAAGTTCTTAATTTTCTCCTCGTAATTTGGAAGCTTTTCAGGGCAAACCTCGCAAAAGTCCTGAAAACAGATCCTTCCATCGTCAATCTTAAATACCCAAATCTCAAAAAGTGAGGCAGAAAGGAAAATCGAAGGAAATCGCATGAAAACCCCAGAAAGACAGTGTAAACATTAAAGATGACCGGGTAGAAACCAAATGACTCCTGATCAGATCCAGTGTAAGATAAGCAGAGATAATAAAAATCATCAAAGATAAAGGCCACAAACCATGTAGGAGTAACCGCGAGCTTCACGGATCTTTTTCAGTTCCTCATCCGTTTCATAGTTATCAGCATCCAACCTCCAGCTAACTACTCCAAGCTCTGGAATCCCAAAGCAAGTTACATGTAAGAAAAAGAAAGACCCATATTGCAAAAAAAAAAAAGAGCATTAAAGATACCCACCGGCAAGTTTGTCCAGAGATACGAATTCCTTAGGTTCCTTATGATGGGGAAGCCTCTGGTCCTCATTGCTATCATCCATGTACCAAGCCTGGATGATTTCTTCTCTCGGATCCTAACAGGCAGAAAAAAACGTCATTTCGCTGGCAAAACAAAACTATGGTGATGAAAATCAACTGAACAAAAAGGCCAAATTATGATGAACTATAGGTCAGGGCTTTTCTATAACAAGGAAATGGCCGTCATTTACAGCCGATGATCGGATTTGATCTGATTCCATTGACCCAATCTACCGAGTTATACAACTTCAACAGCCAAAATGGAAATGTTTCCAAGCCATCATCACACCTTTGGAAGCGGGACAAATCGCTACTGAACGTAAAGGGAGCAAACTACTTGCAAGAAGAGCTCAAACTCTGATGATGATTGTATTAAGACTTGACCCGCAGAAAGAAATCAACAACACAAAAGTTACCTGATTTTGCAATAAACCCTAAAAGATAAAACTTGCAGAAGTCGACAACTCCTAAACCTAACTCAGATCGAAAAAGAAGTATAGCCGATTAAGCGAATTCGATTTCCAGAGCCTAAATCGATATCAATTTCACCATTTACATTCCATGGAGATGCCCACTAACCCATCGCCGATCATCGATCAGAGGCGGGGAAAACATAATTCTTAGAGTTTGTAACCTCATGTAATCAACAACCATATGAAAAAAAAGGCCAACAAAACACGAGCGCAAACATCCACGAACAATCGTCGAAATGAACTCCCCCAGGAAAAATTCTGATGAATCGAGACGAAAATTTTCCGAGGAACCAAACAGAGGAAAGAAGAAAAAGAATACCTTCTCCATCGGAACACCCATGATTATCTGCGGCGTCTTCGATTGTCTTCTTCCTTATCTCCTCTCTCCTTCGAGACCACGCGATCTATGATTTCTTTCGCAGATGGAGAAAACCAGTAATACTGATATATATACATATATTGATGTTAAAAGACCAAACTACCCTTTTTCATTGACCGCAGAAAAGAGGTGTCTCAAATCAAATTAAATTTCATGTTTCTGTTTTAACTCTAATTAGTGGCTGATTTAATAATTATATTACGACCAATAAAAAAAATCAAATAAAAATACCTAAACTTTTATAAAAAATATCAGATAAATATTTGAAATATAAAACTTTTATATAAACATCTAAACTTTTCTAAAATCTTTTATAAATATCTAGAATTCTAAAAAACTCCTAAATAAACTTAAAATCATCATCTATTTTTATTTAAAAAATATCTAAAATTTATATTTATTTTTTAAAAAAATTAAAATTTATATATTTATATAGAAGTTTTATAATTCAAGTATTTATATAGAAATTTTATAGGAATTATATAAAAGTTTAGGTATTTATATATTACAACCAATAAAAAAAAAAAACTTTGCATGCAATGCAACATAGCTACTGAGATTAATAAAAAAAAAGGGTCAAGACAACATTTACATATTACAACCGGCAGCCAGAGAAAATCTAAAGAGAGGAGAAGAATCAGAAAACAAAATGGATGGCAACTAGAGCTAATACTAATCACCCAAAAATTATAGCCGATCAGAGCAGAAGGGTTCACCCTAAAAGAAGAGACGAATCAAGACTCGAGATGTCAACTTCCCGCACGTGTTTCAGACCAGGAATAGATGGGTTCATTCCCTGTCTGGTCGTGTTTCCTTTCTTCTCCTCGGTTAAAGATGTCAACTTTGTCACAGGACTGGAACATGCTACGAGTAACCAACCCCCCAGATGCGTTTTTCGCAATCTCACACTGTCAAAATTCTGTGAAAAAACCGACAACCAGTGGAGTGAATGGAAAACCGATCAGTCAGTAAAAGGGTGTTCATGTTTTCGTTCATACCTTCGCTGTTTAGATCAACCGAGGGATTGGAGTCTTTTGTCCGATTTTCGGGAGAAGCTGTGTTGGCAATGTCCGATCGTCCGTACCGAGCTTGATGGCTCAAATACATCTCCAAGCTGGATGACCCAACTCCCTGAGCCTTTCTGCCCTTTGAGAATCTTCTGCTCACACGAACACATTATATACATCTATATCAAGTTATGGAGTGTTACATTAACCTCGAACAAGCAGGTAATATAATATTATGCACGACATGGTAATGTTGCTGTTTATAGTTACTGAAGAGCACCTGTCCTTCCGCTTTTCGCGATATCTCTGCAGCGATACCTTTCTGCTCATCTGACCCTCTACATCTTATGAAAGAACAAGAAATTATCAGACCGATGGATATGCTCTGATTGAATTTCCAGTTTTCCGAGCATGAATAATGAGCAAAACCAGTTTTCGAATCCAGGTTTGTTCAACTGGTTGTGCTGTTTTAAGCACGGTAAATTGAAAAAGAAAATGTTTGTTCTGTATGTCTTGGCAAAATATTAAGCACTGTTTATACCGGCAGAATCAGGAGAAGCCTTCTCAGGGCAATGCTGAGGAAGTTCCACCATCTTGTCTGAAATATGAGGTTAAACCCTCAGTTAGCAATCATTGGACAATGTCCGGTTCCAATGGAAAGAACATCGGATGTCAAACAAGATTAAAGTCTACAGCGCAACAAGATTCCTAAACCATACACTTTTACAGAATGGTTCACATATGCAGACACGGATTATTTGCAGTTTCTACATTGTCTATTAACCCCAAACAAAGAGTTTAGATATCTAAACAAAAACTTACCTGTAATCACGGGCTTGGAAATCATGATGCTAGGAGCGAAAAGGCCGCAATTTTCAGTAGCCGGCTGTGGATGGGATGGATAGGAACAAAGGGTCGGGTTCCCACCAAACAAATCTTTTCCGGGCATATCAATTGGACTCGCTGCAAAGTGCATGACCGATCGTGCCTGCAAACCCGTATTCTTGATGCATGATCAAAACGTGCCATATCGGGTATTCAATTCTTTTAAAGCCATGACTGGAATTATATCGTTTACTACCTTTTCGGGCAGTATTCCATCATACACAACAACCTTCCCACAATAGAAGATCGTCATTTGCCCAACCATGGAGTTTGTTTCACTTGAACTTCTGCAGCAAGAGCAACATTATGAATACGTCGTCTTAAAACTCGAATCATACAGATAAGGAATCTTTAAAAAAAAAAACTCGAATTAGAAAGCCTCTCGGGGAAGTTATTCACTGATATAACATGCACCGGATAGCAACACCGTATATTATGGTAAGATATCTGATTCACTGACTACCGTCTAACTTCATAAGCCACGAGAGAATCACAGGTCAGATACACGGCTGAGGGAAGGAGGCAATGAAGCCAACATTGTTAAAATTTCCATTGTTCGTAAGGACATTCTAACTGTTTAACTTGTTTTTGGTTTCAGAGGAACCGCATTTGACATTCTCTCTGGTATTTGTCTCATCGGGACACGATATATCTGAAGTTGTTTAGCCTAATGGTCCCTCTATATCCTATAATCAACTCTGAACTCATGGAAAGAATGTTCCTTTCAATATGCCAAGACACCAACCAGAGAATACACATTTCCACATAAACAAAGACCTGACAGGACAGGAGGGATCAACCTCAACTGTCACAATGAGTCATTTCCTTCTAAACACCGATGCACCCGAGAGGAGAAGAATCACATGAAATTCAAGCAAACGGACAAAAAGAAAACCTGGAAGATATTGTCCTGTAGCTATCCTTCTCTCCTACATACTGGCCAGAGCCGCCGGAAAACTCTGACCTCGGAGAATCCTTCCCGTGGTATGGGAAGTTGTCATCATCTTCCGGTAAACGAATCCGACCGCCAGATCCCGAATCCTTGGTTGGCTCTGTCGAAGATGACGTAACCTATGCACAAGGTAAACAAAGCAACACAGCGCCAAAACAGCTTTAATCTCTCCTTCTCTAACACAAATTTCAAATCTTTTTCTGCGATTCTGCCAGGAAAACGGAAACCAAGTCCAAGTACATACATATACTTGTGGGTACATCTAACTACTCGAAATCAGAAGAAAAAAACTCACGCGACGGAGATTTTCCGGCTGAGAAACGAGGATCTTCCGAAGAAATCCGGCCCCTGAATCGTCGCCGGGCTCAAACAGAGCCTTGAGGGAGAGAACCTGCTGGATCGCCTGCGATTTGTTCCACGAAGGTCTGCGCATTCCTGTTTCGGCACGTGTCAGCCGCCATTACCGAAGAAAAAAACACAAACAAGCTCAACAAGGACACACACAGACAGCTCAATCTCAGGAGACTCCCACTCCGGGAGTGGCAGTCCGGGGGGAAATACGAAGGGAGAAGAAGGGCAAAACGGGAAAAAGTACATGAAAAACCTTTCTCTTTGAGGAATTTGCGACAGTCCTCGCGAGTGAGCTGAGAAATGTCCTCCTCGGTGAGAAGCTTGAGGGGCTTTTCCAGTATAGACTTCGCCAGGGATACTCCGGCGTCCATCTCCTCCGCGGATTCCAGTCGAAGGGCCTCACCGGAGCTCTCCGCCGCCGAGCAGTGGCGTTTCCGTAATAATTGGAGGGTTTGGAGGGCGAAATCGGAAAAGAGAGAGGGGGAGGGAGGGGGGGAAGAAGAAAGGAGTCCTTGGGGCTTGGGGTGATGCACCCTAGACTGCCACGTAAGATCCCTGTCCGTATTTAATATGGCCTAAATCCTAATGACGGCTCTTTATATTTACTATTTGCACGTAATCGTCTCCTCTAATTACATCATTGCCATTTTTTTCAAAAAAAAATATTTTCGTATATAAAGGTTTTTTTCTAAGTGAAAAAATATAAATTAGATTAATATATTTACATGCTTTAAGATGCAAAGAGAACAAACCAACATATATATATATATATATATATAGTTGGGTATGGTGTTCCCTTTGTAGGGACACTGTTCAGACACCGTAGGCTAAGCTTCGTCCCCTATATGGGCTTTCTATTGGGTCGATGTCTTTTATTGGGCCTTTGCCCCATCGTCTTATGCCCTAATAATAATAATTGTTCAATTGCACAATATTTGTGTTGGTGGTCATATCATATCCAAGGTGCTCGTTTGTGTGTGTATTACGCTTATGCATTCAATTTCATTTTTGTTTGTTTTGTGATTTTAAAGTTTTTAGATATATATATATATATATATATATATATATATGGAAGATGGAATCATTTGTATAAATTGTATGAGTGAACCTCAAAAAATACACATAAAAAAGATTTGAGGAACTGTGTGACCAGTCAGATTAACATGTACCCATCCTGTTTGTCTTTAGCCCCACTCACATTTATTGCTGTCTTCGTTTACCATTTGAAATTTTATTCACAGTAGTCAGTATATATAGGCTTCCCTAATGTTTCATACTTTAATTGAAAATATACACATCTTTTGTAAGAACAACTTCAAAAAAAAAAATACCCAATTTGGAAAGTTCGTCAACCATTGAAATAGAGATGCAACCCTCAAGTTAGGAAGAGAAACGTAATTCTAATTATCTACCTTACTCTTACCCCATAATTAGTTTTGAGTATCGGTTAAGGATACCCGATTACTTAAAAAAAACAATTTTTTTTTAAAAAAATTGTTATCATATGAAATGATATATTGTCTTCTTATTGGATATAAAGCTAACAATAACTTGAAACTGTCTTTTTATGAGCAACCAATCCATATACTAATTAACATCCATCAAACAAGCAAGAAAGTATTGGATTAAATTTTGAATCTAAGGATATTATTTTTGGGGGGCGAGAGGTGGGTCCCACGTCGGATTTAATAGAGAGAGTTTGGTCATCGCCCTCACGTATAACCAAATACGAAACGTTACAAGGCATGTAGAGAAGGAAGAAGACAGAGGGGGATGCTATTAAATGGGCAGAGGGCGTAGACTCTTTGACCACACTGTTCCTTTCGTCTTCTCCATTAATAAAGACTTCGCACACGTTCGCTTCCTTCTTTCTCTCTATTTTCCACAAAAAAACGACGTCGGATTTTTACTCAATCGATCAAACCCTTTAATCATTTCGTCACTGTCTGTGTTTATTCATTGTTTTCTAACATTGCTCCTTTGTCTTTAGTTGTTTTTTCTTTGGGTAACGGGATGTATTGGATCAAAGTCCATACTAATCCGGAATCGGAAGCAAAATATGTAATTGGAATTACGTTTCTCTCCCCCATTTAACACTCAGAATTCGGGGCAGATTTGTGTCACATTTTCACTGACTGAACTGACCAAATTGGATTCATATATTTATTATTGTATCTTTACATTTTTTTTTCTATAACCACTATCAACATAATTTAGATTTATTTTTGGTAACCGAGTATTTTGGATCAAATTTAGACTAATTTCGGAGTTGATGGTCAACCATATGATTTAGAATATACATATCTCCCCGAATTTGAGGTTCGAAGTCGGGGTGAGACAGTCGTTTTCCATCGCGTTTCTACGTGTGATTTTAATAGGACTAATCTAAAAAAGATGCGTATGTACATTGTCATTAAGACTTGGATTAGAACTTGTCAATGTATGTCATATTTCAATGGTTTTAAAAATATTCAATGTGATTGATGGCATCTGCAATGCCACGATTACATTGTTTTCTTCAAAACTATATACTATAAATATATGACAATAACCCTTTTACCGGAATCAACCAACAAAAAATCAAATGATAACCATTGCGTGGCAGTGTTAATAATCGATTAATAGGTTATATTTATTTAAAAACATACATACCTTGGGACCATGGTGCTAAATACCTCGAGTTATATAGGTAGGTGGTTGAACATTTTAAACTCCGTTCATTTTATGAAAACCTTACTATAATAACCTCAAGGAGTGATTGATCTTAAAATGTTAAAAATAAATGCATGACCACAAAACTATTTCCTTTTTTTTTTAAAAAAAAATCGAATTTCAAGGATATATAATTTTTCAAAAAATAAAAGATATAAACATGAATTGAGAAAGTCTTTTCTACTGTTGAACCCCACCTTCTCCAAGCAATCTCTCTCTCTCTCTCTACATGTTTCTTTGACTTAGACGCCTTTACAAAACATTAAGCCCAAAACCCAAACACACACACAAAGTAAAACCTATCAACAGAAAAAAAAAAAAAGGAAGAAAAGAAACTACACCGGACACTTGTCTTCGCTAACGTGCGCATCATCGCCGGCTGATCTTGCTAATGGGCGCCGGGGTCCGCCGCCTCGTCTCAGCCGCTCTCGCCGCATTGGCTCTGCTCTTCCTCTCTTTCTTCTCCTCCTCCGCCGCCGTCTCTCTCCCCCGTCTCGGTACGAACCCAACACACAAAATTATTTTTTTATCATTCTCGCATTTCATCGAAATTAGTGATATTCACCCTCAATTATTATGCGTCCTACTGTTTGAAATTAAATGCCCACGGAAAAACACTCTAATCGAGATATGCCATATTTGCAAAAGGAAAAACCTTTGTTTCACAACAAGATAGAACCCAACTTTTCCCGGCATTTCGCGATCTAGGCATGCCATTTGTGCATACGTACCTAAATCTTTTCCTGTTCTTGTTCTTGGGTATTGGGTGGTGAGTCAACTCGATAGTTAACTCGGGATCTTGAAACAGGACTCGGGCTTGAACATGGGAGAGAAGAGGGTTATCCGGGTCGGGTTATTCTGGGTCAGAAACGGTTCACCGGACCGGGTTCGTCGCCGCCGACATGTAGATCGAAGTGTGGGAGGTGTGAACCGTGTAAACCGGTTCACGTACCGATTCAACCCGGTTTGAGTACGCCATTGGAGTACTACCCTGAAGCCTGGCGGTGCAAGTGCGGTAACAGGCTCTTCATGCCCTGAAAAAAAAAAAAAATTATTAAAGAACCTAGAAAAAAAAAAGGCAAAACTTTTTTATTTTATATTATTTATGTTTTCTTGATTACATTTTTGTAATTCAAAACTCTCTTTGAATGTAGTGAAATCTCTGTGTTTTGTATAAAAAGTAGAGGAAACTGATTTGGGGGTTCATGTGAAGAAAACGACGACGTTGGGAATGTAAGTTTTGTTAGGTGACGTCATCCACTGTCCTTTTCTCTCTCTCCCCCTCACATTTAACCCCTTAATTTTAGTAATTATAACAAATATTATACATCATTATTATTGTATTTTTTTCCAACTTTATCTCGTAACCTATCTTTAAATTACAAATAGTGAAAATCAGAATTTTAATTTTTTATTCATACGATTAAAAAAAATAGCTGGGAATTAAATGATAGATCAACTAATTTCTAATTTTAATTAATGAGTTTGTAGCTGCAATATATTTACAAGTATTAATATTTTTTTCCGTAATCTAATAGAGCATTTATATGGGGGTTGAGCTTACATTATTAGCTACTCAACGAGAGTACAGTTTTGCGGTTAACTAATTGCGATAATTTATTTCCTTCTTTTTTTTTTGTAACCGTATGTCTATTTATTTAAGCTCTTCTATAATAATAATAATAATTATTATTATTATTATTATAAATAATGAACAGTTTAGTGAAGAAAAAAAAAGGTTTGACATAAATTGGGTCATTGCCCCTTATTTTCGGACAACTCCATCAAGAAACACTGTTTTTATTTGTCTTGTCTCGATATGGACGCATGTGTGTTTTGGACCTCCTCGATAGCGATTTACTTGCAGAATCATTAGTTCCCTCTTTCATAATTATTCCATTAATTACGTGAATTGAATATCTATAAAGCATAGCATTCTAAAAGTTGGATGTGTATTTATACAAACTATAGGATAAAAACCAATTAACTATGCGGTTAATGCAATATTTATGCAGCAAAAAAATAATAGAAAACAATGAAAGAACAAAGCTTATTATTAGGCCAATGGAAGAACAAAACCACCGACGTCGTGGTGCTTCCTACTTTCTACTTTGTTATTTCATACGTGATAATTATTTCAACATCTAACATTTTTAAATTTTAATAAAAATAAATTAATTAATGGAACTATAAATAAACTCATTAATTCTCCACTAAATTAATGGTAGTCGTAAATATCCTTTTTTTTTTTGGGAAATTTGAAAGACAATATATCTATGGACCAAAGACAGCAAAACCATGAACAATGTTATGATTCTGATTTTTATTATTTAACCTATATTATATGAAATTAATAAAAATAATATACAACTCAATAAAAACAAACTAGTTGTTAGGTAATAAAATTTTAAAACCCATTCACACACACACATAT